CCCCCTCTCTCCCTCTCTCCCTCTCTTCCTCTCTCCCCTTTCTCCACTCTTTCCCCTCTCTCCCCTCGCCTCCTCTTGTATAGATACAAGGTCATTCTGAGCAGAAAACCAAAACAAATCTGGTTTTCAGGGGCTGTAAATCTTTACTGGAGGAGACTATACATTCATCTTTCTCCCTCAGAGTGGCTGGTGGATTTCAGTGCAATGCTCCTTTCCCCCTTCTTAATCTCTTCCTGAATTAATCCACCCACCTTTTCACCCCAGAGCTTAGCCTCTGTCTGATGACAGGAAGCAGTTTCAAGACTTCTCACGGAGGACCAGACAGTGCTCACATATGATCTAAAGCTGTCTGTCCCGGCACCAGCCATGGCTCCGCTGTTCCTGAGTGCCCCTCCTGCCTGGCAGGCCACTGAGCCACATGTGCTCAGTTCTTTGGGACCATTGCCTCCTGCACCTCTCTCTGGAGCCCCAGAAGCAGCATCACGAGCCCCAGATCCCCACAGCCATCACTGATGCTGATGCTGAGCCTCCCTATCCCTCTCAGGGGAGTCCTGGAAGGAAACTGAGGATAGCAGTGCACTTCCCAGCTGAATGCTAAAATAGCAATCAGTGGAGCTATTTCCCTGGCATGTGATTCTAACGTGCTGTGTGGCATCAGTGAGCCAAGTCATGCAACTCTCTGAACCAACCCCCACTCCTACACTCCCTTGCACAGGCTTTCCACTTCCTTTGCTCCTGGGCAGCCCATCAGGGATGCTGTTTCTTGCTTGTACTGGCCTCCTAACAGCCTCTCAGGGATGCTAGAGGCCAGGGTGGTTAGAGGCGAAGCTTAGTAGTGGTGTTAATGGAAACAGAGGGAAGTAGGCAGGGGCAGCCCTCCTCCCCTCCAAGGTAGAGGAAGCAGGTCTCTGGATCCCCCCATTCCATGTGCACCATCACCATCGAGTAGCACACATGTTCTCCCCTCCCCCAGATAAAGCCCGGTTCCTTACAGGCTATGGAAGCAAGGCAGGGAAATCTAGGGGGGAAACTAAAAATCAGATTGCCCTCTTGGGTCCTTAAGTTGTTCATCTCCCCCTAGACGCATGCATCTTCCACTATTCATTTTAAAAAACAGTGGCATTGGGAAATGGATATTCTCTCAGGATCTAAATGATCATTTAGAGATCTCATTTGGTTTGAATGCCTTTGTCCGTATTGTGGTAGAATCCAGTTATTGTGAGTAGCTCAGTGGGAAATGGAGCTATATAGAAATATAAAGAAAAGAAATACAGGTGCCAGGGTGGCCCCATAGTTCTCACCCTCGGGCTCCGAGATAAGGTCACTGGGGTTACTGAACCAGACAGACATTTCCTCACAATAGGAATTTGAAGTGCACACATTAGCCCAGTTCTGAGCAGTGCCACAGCCACAGATTGAAAACGTTGGCAGTTCTCGTCATTGGGAAAATGATTTCCACCTCCTGACACTGGGACCTGTTACCAGGGCAGGCACGAGGCCCACAGGGACAGGAGTTTGGTCTGAGAATAAAGACTGCCGTCTTCCTTTCTTTGTTAGCCTCTCAAAACTGAGAGTGTTCTTGAGATGGACAGACTGAAGGCTCAAGCCTTGCTCTGTGACAGGATTCTGAGCAGGTTCCTGGGTGAGATGACGCTACTCACACTTTGTCTCCCAGCCTGGACTCTTTCCTGTATGGGCTCCACGCCCTCTTCAAAGGGGACTTCCGTATAACGGCCCGGGATGAGTGGGTGTTTGCCGACATGGACCTGCTGCACAAAGTGGTGGCCCCGGCCATCAGGATGTCACTGAAGCTCCACCAGGTACAAGTCCCTGGAAAAGGATGTCCAGGCCTGCAAAGGACATGTGCCATGCACAGTCACGTTTTTCTGACTGGGATTTGTAGTGGGAGGGAATGGTGCAGTTCACCCAAAGTGGGCAGTTCAAATCCAGCTGCTGCTCCACAGAAAGATGGGCGATCTCCTCCCATTTGATTTACAGCCTTTGGAAACCCACTAGAGGGTCCGCTATGAGTCAGTTCTTGCTCATCAGCACTGGGTTGAGTTTATTACTTAGGAAACTAAACACTGAGTTCATCGCCATGTTCTTGCCATGGGCCCAGTAGTTACCTGTCTTTCGAAGCCCTTTTCCAGTAGCTGTTGGGTCAGTCCCCGTCATAGCGTTCCAGGTGTGTCTGAGAACTGTGCTCCGTAAGAGTTTCTATGGATTAATTTTTGAAGAATAATTTCTTGCAATGTGCTGCTGGGTGAACTTGAACTAGCCTTTCAGTTAGCAGCTGAATTTATAAACCATTTACATCATGGAAGGGTAACATCCCACTGGAGGGCCGTAGGAGGAGGGTCTAGCCCAGGTGGAGGGAGGACTAGGGTGTTGATAGAAGTGCAGACGCTCTGTCCATTTGGTGACACTAGCACAAAGCGAAGCTCTTTCCCGGGTTAGAACAGTGAACAAAGCTATGCCCCTCAGGCAGTTTAGGGTTGAGACAGGAGTGGGGGTGTGGAGGTGGACTTAGCCTTGGAGGCCGCAGGCCACGCCCCTTCCTTCATGCCCTCTGATGTCACCGAGCCCCCAGTGGACTCCCTGTGTCCCCAGGACCAGTTCACCTGCCCTGATGAGTATGAAGACCCAGCAGTCCTGTACGAGGCCATCCAGGCCTTCGAGAGGAAAGTGGTCATCTGCCACGAGGGGGACCCGGCGTGGAGGAGCGCGGTGCTGTCCAACAGGGAGGAGCTGCTGACCCTGCGGCACGTGGTGGACGAGGGTGCCGACCAGTACAAGGTCATCATGCTCCACAGGGGCTTCCTGAGCTTCCGCGTCATTAAGGTACCCCAGCACTCCTGCAGGGACGAGGCAGGGCCCGACCACTTCCCACCACCCAGTGAGCGGGTGCCTGGGGAGGGCCTCGGCTGGCACCAAGCAGGGGCGCTCTGTGGCAAGTCCACAGTGAGTTAAGCTGCCAGGCTTAAAGGCTGGGCCCTCGGGTGCTTCCAATGCACCAGCAGCCCCACGGGAGAGAGGCAGGCAGTCTCCTCCCATTGTGACTCCCAGCCGGGAAACCGGGGGAGGGTCACTGAGTCAGAACCGACCCGGCAGCGTGAGCCCGAGTTTTGAGACCAGGATCCTGCTTGTCTTGAAAGAGTCTCAGAGAGCGAGAGCACACCTTGTTCTAATGGCCCGTTCCTGGGCCCAGTCTCCCTGGCCAATGGGTTCTTCCAGAACATACTTCCCATTGGGGTTCGGGTCCTTATTTGAGTGTGGCCTCATCCCACACCCCAGGGCTGTCACAGGGGTTGATGGTGGACATCGCTCTGGTCAGAGCTTTGTGGCTATAGAGGTCCCGTCCGCAGGCCTGTGCTCCCACCGTGGGGGACAGCAGGCTGCCTGGAAGCCGTGGCCACCACGTGTGTCCCCTGCGCCTCGCTGCCTGCAGGTCAACAAGGAATGCGTCCGAGGGCTCTGGGCCGGGCAGCAGCAGGAGCTCATCTTCCTGCGCAACCGAAACCCGGAGCGTGGCAGCATCCAGAACAACCGGCAGGTGCTGCGCAACCTCATCAACTCGTCGTGCGACCAGCCGCTGGGCTACCCCATGTACGTGTCCCCGCTCACCACCTCCTACCTGGGCACGCACCGCCAGCTCCGCGACGTGTGGGGCGGGCCCGTCAGCGCGCACCGGCTGCGCACCTGGTTCCGGACCAAGTGGCTGAGGTGGGTCTTCATGGAGGGTCGGCAGTGGTGGGAGGCGGCGCCCTGGGGGTGGGTGGGGGGCTTCAGATAGAAGTGTTCATCCCTCTCCCCTCACTGTGTTCTTGTAGGATTAGGCTCCTGTTGCCAGGAGGCTAGTGGACTGTAGCTGCATGCTAATGTGTGGGCCAGGGTCCCACGGACAGGAGCACCAGTTCTCTTGCATTTACATGTGAACACACACACACACACACACACACACACAGGAACACACAGAGACACAGACAGTCACACGGACAGAGACACAGATAACACACACAGGAACACACAGAGACACAGAGATACACAGGAACACACACAGACACACATATATGCAGTCATACAAGACCACACACATGTACTCACAGAGACACACATTGACACACACACAGTGTGACCAGGGTGAACCCTCCCTGAGCCACAGGGTCTCTGGGCATGAGGGCTGACGTTGAGACTGAGAAGGCTCTGCTCCCAGCAAGCAGCTCTCCTGCCAACATGTTGCCTGCCTGGTTGGGAGTTGGGGTGCTGTCTTTTAAGAATGGGTTTTAAGACATTTCCCCCCAATTTTTTTAAATGAATTTCAATGAATATTTACAAAGATTTTGGATTTCCATTCATTCATTGTTGCACTTTTTAAGGCATTTTTGACAGAGTGAGGTTAGGCTTGTTTTCGGGCCTCAGGGCCAAGGAGTCTGGTGGGGTTTGGCATGGAAACAGATCCTTTCCCATGCGGTTGATTCATCCATAAGGATGGGGGACAAAACCCCCTCCTGCTCCTCCCTCACCTGTGGAGCGGGGCACGAGCCATGGATGGCACTAAAATGTGGACATTTCTCACCTGCAGAATGCGGAAGGACTGTCACGCGGGCCAGCCAGGCGGCAACATCGAAGACGTAGATGGAGGAGGGGCCCCCGCCCCAAGCCACACGAGCGGGGAGAGCCAGGCCAGCAGCATGGAGCCACCCCGCAAGGATGGGCGCCCCAGTAGGGCTCCGAGGACAGGTGGGTGCCATGGTGGGGCCCCAGGGAGGGCGGGTGCAGGAGGGGCTCAAGGATAAATGGAGGACTGGGGGCCCTGAGAACAGGTGGGTGCAGGGAAGGTGGGCTGCTCTTGGGAACCACCGCCCCATGGGGCTGTGTGCTTCTTTCTGAGCACTCAGGTTAAGGCCCTGAGCTCATGACACACTGGCTTTCGAAGGGCCCTCCACACGTCACAGCCAGGAGTGCGCCTGCCTGGCTCAGTGAAGGCACTTTTGTCCACTCCTGCCAGCCCCGTCTCCAAGGAGTTCTGAACCTCTTGCTTTCCCGAGCTCCGTCTGATGGGCAGTCTCCTGCCCTGTGTGATTTACAGTCTCTGAAAGCCTATGATCGACATACAGCACCTAACAGTAGTGGAGTGATATTTACATGGGCTAGGTAGCGAGGTGCATAGATAGCAGCTGCTCGGAAGGGAATGAAACGCTCCCGGCTCCTTCTGCAGGCACCTGCCTGGCTCCCCGAGCCCTGAACAGCTCGCAGGCTTGGCCTTGCTCAGTGTTTCAGAAATCTGATATCACACGCAACTTTCAAAATCACTAAAGCCCTTTCCAGATGGTAGATTCCAGGTGGTGAAAAGCTTTCACCCTGGGCCCGTGCCAGTGCTGTCCAGGGACTGGTCAGCTTCCAGGGGACCAGTCAGCTGGCAGGACTGCAAATGGGAACCACCCCAGGAGTGTGGAGATGGACGTGGGTGATCCAGGAACAAGCTGGTGTCCTCTGTTCCGGATGCCTCAGACAGCCCCTTCTCCCTCCTGTTACAGCCAGGGGCACGGGGCTGATGCTGAACTTAGCGTGGAGGTTTCCAGAATGCAGGCCGGCTGTCATGATTGTTTCTTGTTTCCTAATTGGCCACCTCAGATCACTGTTGGCTTTCTGCTTGTCACAAACTCACCAGGCATGACTGGCCCAGCGCCCTCTCCTCAAACCTGCCTGCCCACTGCTGCTTCTGTACCACCTCCCTGTGTGGAAATAATGATTCACGATTAGCAGCTTTCCTCAAGGGTTTCCGCTGTGCATCCACTGTCCCGAGGACTTTCCAAGTGAAGGTTCATGTTTTTCTCACCTCGATGCTATGAGCTGGATAAGGGACTTAACCTCAGTGGGTCGATGAGGAAACCAGGACTAGAGGAGAGGAGGGAAGGAGGAACACACAGATGGTCCTACAGCCGATAACAGCCTGGATCAGTGTGCTCAGGTCCATGTGCCACCCTTCCCTGGCCAGGGCATGCACGAGCATCGATAAGCACCCACTGCACCACACAGCTTCCCAGTACTCCACCCGCGTGGCAGGCCCCATCCCTGACAGAGGCCTCCACTCCCAAATGATGCTCCTTCTGGGCCATGAGTGAGCAGAGCTGGGACCGCTTCTTCCCAGCAGGGCCTGAGCATGAGGCTATGGGCCACGGCGTCCTCCCAGCAAGTGAGGTGGGGAGGTCTGAAGGCCTCTGTGCCCAGATAGCTGGCAGGAGGGCCCCCAGGAGAGCTATACTAGAATGTGGGCTCTCCCCACACAAGGGCCAGACTGTTGAGAGGGAGAACAGGAATTAAGTAAGTATGCCGTCCCCTTCTCTGCTTCCAAACCTAACCAACTGTGTCAACTCATTTCAGACACCTAGTGTCCCTGTAGGGAGCTCTGGGGGCCTCCTGTTGAGGAGCTGTGCTGCCAACCCAAAAGCACATGGTTCAAATCCACCAGCTGCTCCAAGGGAAAAGGATGTGCAGTGTCCTCCTGAGTGATTTACAGCCTCTGAAAACCCACTGGAGGGTCAGCTGTGAGTTGCTTCCATCTCAATGGTACCCTGAGAGAAATGGAGAATGGATGACCCAAAAAAACACCAGAAAGGAACAAGCCACCCATCCCACAGCCCTCCCCACCACGGCCTCAGAAAGAATTCTGTGTCGCCTGTTCGCCTCTGACTTGAGGTAAAGCCACCTTCCATGGTGGCGATTCCACTCAGTCTCTCCCTGCGGACAGCATCACGCACCTCAACTGCACCACATGCCCTGCCACACATCTGTCAGTGTATCACGCTGTGGAACAGATCCAAGCCATGGTCTTTTCAGTCAGCAGCTAGATATCTGAATGTTGGACAGTGAATGAGGATGACAAGAAGAACCGATGCCTTTGAATTGTGTTGGAGAAGAGTATACTGACACCCGCTTGGAGTGCCAAGGGAACAAGCAGGTCTGTCTCAGAGGAAATGTGATCAGAGTGCCCCTTCAGGGCAGGGATGGTGACGCTTAGTCTCACTTGCTCTAGGTATATTTTCAGGGGGAACCAGTCCTTGGAGTGAGGCATCATGCTGGGAAAGGTGAGGGTCAGGGGAAGAGACGAGGACCCTCAATGATATGGACTGACACAGTGACTGCAGCAGCTGGCTCAAGCGTGTCAGAGACAGCAAGTGGCACAGGACAGGGCGAGGCGAGGGTCTGTTGTTCATAGGGTTGCTGTGAGTCAGGTGACTTGATGGCACCTGATAGCCACACCATAAGCAAGAACTCAGGAACATGGTGGCTTTGATGGCACTGAACCCTCGGCAGACCTCATCAGATCTCTGTAGTGAGAGACCTGCATGTCAGTCTCTGTAAACGTGACCCCGGAGGCCCTCTGTACTCAGACTTCCTTCTTGGCTGATGCAGATATAATTTTCTTCATCGTTTTGGTGAGGTTTTCTAACTCTACTTGGATCAGGGCCACTGTCTCTCTGCTTGTGTCACTACTTCCAACACTGGGTGCTGGGACCTTGTGTTTCTTGGAAAGCAGGCCCACGGAGGCCACCTGGGCAGAGCTCCGGGATGGCTGACACTGTGGAGGGACCTCTGGAGTCATTCTTTCAGAGACAGCTGGACCACTGGCAGGAACCCTGGACCTTGGGTGACAGTCCCTGGGGTAGCTGTCACCCCCATTCCCAGCAGGCTCTGGGTTTCATGTCATTCCTAAGCATCCCCACATCCTTCTCTCCTCCCCTCTCAGCTGACTCAGGAGAGGACTCTGTAACCGCAGACACACCCTGAGGCTGGGCTGGCAACCCATCTACTGCTGAGCAGTTAGAGACAAGGAGCTCTTTTGGGTTCCAGGCTGGAAAGGAGGGTCTTGTCCCCCCTCCCAGTCAAGGAGGGCTTTGCACTTCAACTTCTCTGAAGAATGGCACCATCATTGTAAACCGAGAAGGGCAGTGCATCTGTTTATTTCCTGTCGAGTTCTAAGAACGCCCTTCTTTGCAGCTCCTGGTTTGATAATGAAGTCACCGGCAAAATTAAATGGTAGAGCAGGAGCCCAGATCGTGCGAAAGCAGTTACCGTGGTTTGCTTGGGTATTAGTACTGTGCCTTTTGCAAAGGTACAAAGAAAGGGGATGGAGGGAAAGCAGAAACACTGAGGAAATCCAGAGCCACAGAATCAAAGTGTGTCCTCATATCTTGGGGACATTCCTCTCTGTCCTTTGTCCCTTGTTTTGGCTCTGGAGATCCTCCCCCAGTGTGGGTGGTCTAGAGTCCAGCTCACTGGCTTAGAAACGACTGCAGAAGTTTTGGACAGCAGTCAGTGTTATAGAATAAATCACAAACAGATGTTTGGCCCTGCCAAACTCTGAGGAAACTAACAAATCACGTACTGTTCCTGGTTTGGGTTTGTCAGGTTCCTTGCCTCCCCTTCTTTTTTCTCTTCCATAAGAGTCATATATTACATTCAACAGGAGGGACTCTGGGTTGGCTACTACCCACTCTGTCAGAAGGCCCCTGATCCCCAACAAGAGGGGCTGACAGAGCACCACAGTGGCCTTGCCAGCCCTGGGCCACCCGTGGGGAAGCCGCGCTCCGGCCATCCATAATGCTCACCTTGTGCTGGAGGGCCATTTCAGCCCCTGCAGGGAAAGGGATTTCAGAGTCTTCCAATGAATGTTTGTCCCCAAGGAGCTGATAATACTGCTCTCGCCCTCACTGGGCCACGTGGACTGCTGAGAGAACATAGGAGTTGTTCCCTAAAAGATAGGTTACTTGTCCAGCTTTCTTATAAGCAGACAAGGATTTCAGAACCACCTGCATGAGGTGAAGGAGAACAAGAGGACTTATACAGAACAGCCCTGCAAACGCTCAAACTCATTACTGTTAAGTAGGAACCGATTCACAGCTTGACCCTCTAGGGGGTTTTCAGAGGCTGTAAATTGCATGGAGGCTGTAAATTGCCAGCCATTCTCCTGAGCAGCAGCTGATGGACTGAACCACCTGGGGGTGAGCAGAACAACCCCCTCCAGAATGTGCCACCCGAGCTTCCTAGCGCAGCGCCAGCCCGCCCTGTTTGTATTATTCAGCACGAATTGTAGCCCCCTGCCCCAGTCACTGTGTCAGTCAACCCCACTGAGGCCTTCCTCTCTTAAGCTGACCGTGTCTCTCTCCAAAGACTGGTTCCTTGGAGACATGGCAGCTTGAGCAGGACAGAGGGTGAGGATGGCACAGGAAAGAGCAAGGTTCTAATCTATTGTTCATATCATCACAGTGGGTTGTAGTTGACCTGATCACACCTAACAAGAATTGTAGCAGCTTCTAAAGATGTCGGTACACTTATTGTTAGGTAGAATCGTGACTTCGTCAGCTGCTGCCATTACACTGAGAATCAGGTCCTTATTGGCTGACTTCATGAGCTCCTCAGCACACCTTCTCTCCACAATCCGAGTTGTGCTGGAAAGCTGTGCACAGAAGGACATCTTTAGCCTTTCCCTATTCCAGAGAGAAGGTCCAGTCCCTCTGGTCAGAAATGCTCTATCCAGATAAGACTCAGCCCCGACTGGGCCAGGAAAGGCCAGGCAGAGGGGAGGAGCTGCTGCACCCAGGAGCCATGTCTGGACGTGGACAAGGCACCAGCCTGGGAGGGTTTGACCTGAGACCCTGATCCTGAGGGAGGATTGTTCTAAAAAGCAAAGGCAACAGCATGGGGTTCAAACCTATCCAAGCAAATGATGAAGACCTGCATGCCGGCCTCCATCCTACTGGTCAGATAAGCACAGGAGCCAAGGCTTTGCATGACAGAGAATCTGACTTGTTCAACAAGGCTAAGCTATGCTGCTCTGTCATCACCATTTGCCCTGACTTGGAGGCTCTCTGATGACTCAGGACTTTGGATACCTAAACCCAGGGTCCCTGGAAACCACCACAGTTGCTGTTGTCTACACTCCCACCTCCCAACACCCTGAGGTGCTATTTCCACCACCAACTACCACCCTGGGCTGCCAGAACCAGCCCACAAGCTTGCAGGCACCTTTAGTTCCTGGCCCCCTGCCCTCAGGGCAATGCAGAATCCCCGGTATTGGTCCTGTGTCGGAGGCCATGGATGTGCATGGTCCCGGTCCTCTCCCTGAGGGCCAGCGTGGTGTGCCCAGCACTGCTGTACCCACAGTATGTTTTCCTTCCTCCCAGGCAGGAGGAAAGGCCGGAGCCAGTCCATTCAGGCACCGGGGGCTCTGAGCCCTGGTGCCCCGACGGCCAGCCTGTCGGGCCCCATCCGGGAGGGCCGCGGGACCTTCCTGCAGACGTCCACCTCCGTGCACGAGCTAGCCCCACGGCGCACTGGCAGCCAGCTGTCCCTGCACTCACAGCCACCACCCGCCACCACCATGGGTCACCTGAGCGTCCGCGAGCGGGCTGAAGCGCTCATCAGGTCCAGCCTGGGCTCGTCCACCAGCTCCACCCTCAGCTTCCTCTTTGGCAAGAGGAGCTTCTCCAGCGCCCTGGTCATCTCGGGACTGTCCGCTGCAGAGGGGGGCAACACCAGCGACACACAGTCCTCCAGCAGTGTCAACATAGTGATGGGCCCCTCGGCCAGGGCTGCTGGGCAGGCTACACGGGTAAGGGGGCTGGAAACACAGGTGCCCAGTTGGCAAGTCAACAGGTGACACCTGAGTCCTTTGTCTGGGTTACTATCCCGATGGGGACCCTGAGTGGACATGACATGACTGTCAGCACTGAAGCAGGCAGGCCACACTGCATCTGTCCTGCCCATAGCATTGTGGGCGTTCAAGGAAGAGCTGTGCAGAATTGTCACTTCTAACATCAAGCCATGATGGAAAGGGGCTGCCCCAGCCCATGCACACCAGAGGTGGGCTTGAGTCCATTCCCTTGTACTGTTCTGGCCTGAGAGAGATAAATGCACAGCCGTGCTGGAGTAAGGTAATCATTGAGTCTTCTCCATGTCTAAGTCAGCGAGGGGCCTAGTGCCCTGAGGTGTTTCAACATTAGAGGAAGAGAGGTTTAAGGACTTCATGTAAATAGTGTGTTACTTGTCCAGAATCACAGGAGAACTCTGGTAGCTCAGTGGTATGCCTCCTGTGGGATTTACAGCCTCTGAAAAGCCACTACAGGTTCTGAACTCGTTAGAGAATTAGATTTATTCAACGAGGCCAAGCTATGCCACTCTGTCATCACCTGCAAGTTCCAACTCAATGACAATGAGTTATTACATATAATCCCATTAATACTAAATATATACATATACACACACAAATACATATATATACACACACACATATATATACATATATTTTAATAAAATTTTTATTTTATACCGGTTTGCTTACAAACTTTATATACATTTTTTTTCACACTGCATCTTTCCCGTTTCCTTTACCCCTCTCTCCCTCTACCTATCAAATTGTGCAACCCTATGATTACACCCCTGTGCATCCTCACCCCTTTGTTCCTGCCCTCCCCTCCTCGGATTCTCATACATGTTTTACTAGTTATCTTTCTATTTCTACAATAATAGTCTTATATTTGTCCTTAGGGACCTGAGTTAGTTCACTTAGCATAATGTTCTCCAGTCCATCCCAAGTTAAGTAGTGATTTTCAAAATCTTTGTTCCTTCATGGTGCGCAGTATTCCATTATATGAATGTACCACAATTTCTAGATCCATTTGATTGTCGTTGGACATTTAGGCTGTTCCCATGTTCTTGAGATGGTGAATAATGCTGCTATGAACATTGGTGTACAAATCTCCATTTATGCCTCAGCTCTCATTTTCGCAGAGTATATCCCAAGTAGTGGAATAGCTGGATCATATGGAATTTCTAGGTTCAGCTTTTTGAAGAAATGTCAAACTGGCTTCCAGAGTAGTTGCACCATTTTACAACCCCACGAACAATGTAGAAGAGTTCCTATCTCACCATATCCTCTCCAACATTTATTACTTGCTATCCTATTAAAATTTGCCACTGCTACTGGAGTGAGACAGTATCTCCTTGTGGTTTTGATGTTAATTTCTCTGACTGACAGTTATTTTGAGCATTTCTTCATGTGTCTATTGGCCATTTGAATATCTTCCTCTGTGAAAGGTCTTCACATATCTTTTGCCCATTTTGAAATTGGGTTATCAGTCTTTTTCTTAG